TATCAATTTTGATTCTAAAAGAATTAAAATTTTAATTTTGAATTATATCGTTTTATTTAATTAAAATTTAATTTAAAATTTAAAAATTTATCTTATTAAATATTAATATTTGAATTTAAAAATAAATTAAAATTTTATTTTTTAAATATAAATTAAAATTTTAATTTTTTAAAAATCAAGACACTAATGGGTAATAATTTTAATTAAAATACTTTATATTTAATAAAAATTTTACATAAAAATTTTTTAATTATTATTTATATAAATTATTAAATTTTATGTAAAATTTATATTTTAAAAATTAAAATAAATTTATTAAAAATAGAGGAAGGATTACTTTTATTTTGTAGTTTACATTATATTTTTATTTTTCAGACCGAAAACAAATTTTTATTTTATTTTTTATTTTCTTCCCAAAACGCAAAAACGGATACGCTGGTCATCTTCTTCTGTAAGTCTTCTTTTCTCTGCACCCTATCTGAACACTGTGCGAACTGTGAAATGGCGTCTTTGGCTCATCAATTCACAGGCCTTAGATGCCCACCGCTCTCGTCTTCATCTTTATGGAAGAAACCTATGCAAGCCCAAAAGATGGGACCTTTTGCTCTTCCAATTGTATCGGCGGTGGCCATATCAAATGCACAGACCAAGGAGAGGATCGAGCTTAAGAAGATGTTCGAGGAAGCCCATGAAAGATGCCGTACTGCCCCCATGGAAGGGGTCTCCTTCACCATTGAAGACTTCCACACTGCTCTCGATAAGTACGACTTCGATTCTGAGCTTGGAACCAAGGTGAGCTTTTTATTTCATTTTGTCAATTTATCGATTGATGGTCTTTGTTTGGATTGAATGTAAATTCTGAATTATGCAAATTGGTTGCTAATTTTAGTGATGATTTTAGGCAATGCTTCATGTCTATGGTTAGAGATTGAGTTGTTGAGGTGAAAGATATTTTCTTTTGAGTTGGATATGTGTCTTCTTTTTCCAATTGTTTTTTAAAATTTCAGGATGCATTCCATGGTATACGGTAGTATATGGATTCTAGGGATGAGTGTTTTGCTGATCAGTTGGTTCTGCTTTATAATTCATAGGTTAAGGGAACAGTTTTCTCTACAGATGCCAATGGGGCGTTGGTTGATATTACTGCAAAGTCTTCAGCATACCTACCCCTTCAAGAAGCAAGCATCCATAGAATTAAACATGTGCAAGAGGCGGGTATAGTTCCCGGCATGAGGGAAGAGTTTGTGATTGTTGATGAAAATGAAGCTGATGATAGCTTGATTTTGAGCTTAAAGGCTATCCAGTATGAACTTGCGTGGGAGAGATGCCGGCAGCTTCAAGCTGAGGATGTTGTAGTGAAGGGTAAGGTGCGTATTTCTTGAGAAAGGGGTTTACTTTTCTTCATTTTTGCACTTTGACATTACTGCTTGGAATGCATTGCCCAATGGTTCAGAAGTGAGATGGATTGTTATAGGAAGAATCTTGAAACTCTACATGGCAAATGGTTTCTTCTACCTTACATCTTAGAGGGGAAATTTTTTTTGGCCAACATCTTATAGGGGAAATTGGATCATATCTTCATCATTACTGTGTTCAATTTGAGTAATTCCTATATGTGTGTAGGTTGTTGACGCAAACAAGGGTGGAGTAGTGGCAGTGGTAGAGGGCCTCAAAGGGTTTGTTCCATTTTCACAGATATCATCGGTTAGTGCTATAATCCCATCAATTATTTGTGGAGCTCTATTCTTTTATGGTGTATCCTTTGAGATTTTTTATTCAATTAGGAATATTGAATATGTTCATATGGTGCATACTGGAATGAAAGTAAGGATCATATGTTCATTTGGTTCTGTGTGCAAATAAGATTTTAGTTTTTGTCTGTTTGACATTTGTGAATGATTCTCTCTCCCTTTCTCTCTATTATTATATATATTTAATTTCATTTGTTCCTTATGCTAAAGTATAATATCCCAAGTATGATGCTTGAAACCCTCTTGTCTCATCAGAAATCAACTGCAGAAGAGCTTCTTGATAAGGAGCTGCCTCTAAAGTTTGTAGAGGTTGATGAAGAACAGTCTAGGCTTGTCCTTAGTAACCGCAATGCCATGGCTGACAGCCAGGCACAGCTGGGAATTGGATCAGTGGTTCTTGGAACTGTTCAGAGCTTGAAACCATATGGGGCATTCGTTGACCTTGGTGGAATTAATGGTCTTCTTCACGTCAGTCAGATTAGCCATGATCATGTCTCAGATATTGCAACGGTTCTTCAACCTGGTGATACCCTCAAGGTATGCCTACATTGTCCATGTTAAATTTTTGGGCTTGTAGTTGCTTTTCTGTGAAGTTATTTTCAATACCAAGTTAACTGGTGTAGGTCATGATACTAATCCATGACCGTGAAAGAGGCCGAGTAAGCCTTTCTACAAAGAAGTTAGAGCCTACCCCTGGAGACATGATTCGCAATCCAAAGCTTGTTTTTGAGAAGGTAATAAGCCTTTTTACTCAGAAATATTTTGCATGTTGTTTGTTAGCCGTTCCTTCTTCTAGTGTACGTTGCATCATCTTGGTTGCTACTAAATATCTCTATCTTGCTCCAGAGCATCTTTATTTTAATTATTTACTGGATGAGTCTATGTCCGTCTCTAACAGGCTGAGGAGATGGCTCAGACATTCAGACAAAGAATAGCTCAGGCAGAAGCCATGGTTCGTGCAGACATGCTTACGTTCCAGCCTGAGGTACTCATCCGGTTGTTATATTTCTGGTTCTTTAAGTTCTTCCAAGAAAACAAACTTAAATTAATAAAATGGAGAGGCAACCAGGTAAGGCTTACAGAATTAACACTACAGTTCATTTCCCCTTAACTTTGCAGAGCGGGTTAACCCTCAGCTCTGATGGGATATTGGGTCCCCTTTCAACGGACTTGCCAGAGGAAGGCTTGGACCTGAATGAGGTTCCAGCAGCAGATGATCATTAACTGATTTGCATGACCTTCTCGATTCTTTGTACTATTTTTCATTCATTAATGATCTACTCTGTAAAATTGGTTAGGGCTTATCATGAGCAATCTTTCTTTTGTTTTTCTTACCCTCCCTGTCCCCAGAAACATGTAAGAAAATGCTCAAGTATCTGCATCTGCAGACAGTTTTTTGTTTACTCTGTATAAAGTCACACAAACTGCAGATGACGTCTCAAATCTGTTTCAGATGTCTGTTTGAGCTTAAAGTTAAGATGGAAGGGTGTACTTATATAAATAACTTCATTACTAGATGATCAACCTGAGAAGATTAAAAAAAAAACATTGGGTCAAAGCATAATTTATAAATATTTTTAATTAATCTTTCTATTTATCGGCCATGTTCATCCAAACCTTCACCATTGCCTCACCTTCATCTGTGTATGGGAGATTTATTCAGCAACAGGCAAGTTGCATCGCCGACGAGCCCAAATAGACGAAGGTGGAAGAAAGATGGCTTTATACTTTGAGAGTGTTTTGCAGTCTGGATTCATACCTACTTTCAATTTTT